GCTCTCCCCAGTGCACACCTTCACGGGGACACTTGAGCAGGGTCTCCCCAGTGGCACACTCTCACCAGGGGAGGGGGACACTCACAATATGCTCTCCCCAGTTGCACTTCTTCACCAGGAAGATGTCATCTAAAAGCATATCTATGGGCTTCACTTTGTAGAACATCAAGAAAAAATGGACAAAGTCAAGCAGGTCCTTCGAACGAAAGAGTTTTCCTGTGGAGAAGAAAAAAACAAACTCGTGGAACATGTGCGGACACGCGTGTGTGACGGGAGCATTGTCTGTTCTGTTCAAAGGAACGAGCGCTTTGAGAACACGACTACCTTCTTGTTTTAGCAAGGAACTGCAACACATCCCCGTGGGTGAGTGACAGCAAGGCAAGGGGTCACGTTTGCTTCAGAACGTATTAAGGATTCGCGGTTCCAAAGGGACCGGTCTGGGAGCAGCTTTCCATCCAGCTGCCCCCAGGAAGCCCTTTTTGACCTCACACAGACCATGGGTCTCAGTCACAGGAAAGGTGGCACACTGGCAAGTGTGAGAGAAGAGGCCACCATCTCCCTGTTCTGCACAGAGAGCTCCCCTGGCCCTGCTAGCGCTCGCAGACCTGCTACAGAGCAACCTTTGTCCTATTTTTGACTAAAATACTGTATATTTCAAAATTTGAAAATTGTTTAATCAGGTGATTATAAGACAGAATACTATTTTAGATTTATGGCTCTTAGAGATATACTGTATTTTAAAAATATGATCGATTAGGCCCAATTAGTTTTTTCTCTCTAAGATACAGAGTCCTGAATTTAAAAGTGGAAACTGAGCAGAAAGATTCGGCTGGATCTGAAGGACGTAGCATAAGATGACTTCCCCATGTAGTAAGTTGGATAGCCACAATGCTGCATTTGCTTTGAATTCTGAGGCTACTTGGGTCGCTTAATAGGAAATGTACAATTGTATTTTAGCTATTTGCTGGTGTTGAGTTGAATGATGAGAATGGTCGTTGTATGTCTTCTTCTGTTACCAGCAAGCTGCAAGGTCCTAATTAGTATGATCGTGTTTCTGGCCCCAGAGTCACAAAAGCTAAAGCCATGGGAAGTGAAGCTGAAATATGTCCTTAGCATCACACAGGTGAGTGCTTCTTGTTCAGTGCGTTCTCACAGCGGTGAGAATGTAGATGCTCTCTCCCCTTCTCCCCCCTCCCTTTCTCTAGTTCCTCTTTCTCCCTCCTCTCTGTCTCTCCGTCTTCCTCTCTCTTTCTTTCTCTCCTCTCTCTATATCCTCATTCTCTCCCCCTCTCTCTCCTCTCTCTCTATCCCCTCTCTCTCCTCTCTCTCTCTCCCCGCCTCCCTCTCCACCGCCCTCTCTCTTTTCTAACTGCTGTCTGAGACAGTGAAGTTCTTTCAGCTCTTTAACTTCTCAGAGTAATGCGGCTTCAATGCCGTTTCTTCTCCGAGTTCTCCTCAGGTCTTCATGGTTATGTACTTTTTTTTTTTTTTTTAATTTTCACTGAGGCCGAAGGAAACACATTTGAGCTCTTAAAATGAGATGGGAAATCTGGGGGGAAATGTGATTATGTGAGCATATGAAGAACAGATGGATGTCCATAACTGTTAGAGGACACACTTTCCACAGACGTCTGGATGACCACAAGGCAGATGAACAGAAAATAGTCGCGTGAGGCTCACAAAGCCAACCGCACTATCAGGCTTCCTGTAATGCTCGCTCCCTCTACTGCTTCAGCACTGCTGCGCCAGTAAGAAGCTGATTAGAGATGGGCATTGATCAAGACCTTGAACGTTTAAAACGTAGCATTGAAGGTAAAACATGTAAGGAACAGAAAAGCTTATTGTATTACCAACCGCTGATGTAGATGTAAAACAGGCGCCAGCATGGGGATCAGGAAATGCTCTACTTGGGTATGTTTTGGTTTGTAAGTAGATTCTAAAGCTACTTAGACAGTGGGTCAACGTGAAAACAGAAAGGTGGGATTTCTTTTCTCCGCCCTCCACCCCCAGTACAATAAAAGTGAGTGTCCATCAGACTAATGGATGTCAGGCCCCCGGGAATGAGGGCCACAGTGACCCTGCTTGAGACCACAAAGTTCAAAGGGAATGAGAGAAAGGCTGGAAGAAGAAAGAAGAAGGAAAATTTAAATTATGGCTGTAGAAACTTTAACCATGGCCACCGTCCCAAGAACTTTTCTGTGGCCAGTACAATTCATATACTATTTCTTTTTGTGTTTCTGTGTGTGTATGTGGTATGTGCCCACATGCACAAAGGTGCACATAGGCAGAGAGGCCCAGGGTCAATATCTGGGCGTCTTCCTTGATCATCTCCCACCCTGTGTTTTGAGAGAGTGTCTCTCTCGGAACCTGCCACTCATTAATTCAGGTGGGCTGGCCAGTGAGTTCCAGGATCTGACTCTCTCGAGTCTCCCCAAAGCTGGTATGGGTGCCTCCGCCATGCCTGGTGTGTGCGCCTCTGCCATGCTTGGTGTGTATAGTGGTTCTGGGGTCCAAACTTGGGCCCTGTGTTTACATGGCAGGCTCCTTATCAACTGAACACCTCCTGGTCACTAAGTCATTTCTATATTAAGAACAGCAACTTTGACATATTGGAAATTAAATACCATTATTAACTACACTCCCATAGCCCTGAATTGCTGGTTGAGGTATCAGGATAGGACTTGGAGTCTAGCATGTGCTGAGAACATATTGTCCACAGGGACCCTCACATCCTCCTGCATGGAAAAGGGACAGCACATACTTGTCACTGAACATGCACATACTCTAGCACCCAATTTTATGATTTTATAATATGTGTATACATGTTAATTTGCTCATTTATATTGTATGCCTAGAAAAAATGATCAAAATATGTTAACTGAATTACAATTCAGGTGTGCCAGTCTGGCTTTACCATTAAGGCCGTATTATCTATACAGGAATCAGGCCATGCCTTTCCACTCAGTGTTATAACACACTGTTACGTTCTTCAAAAGTTTTAAGACTATTTTGTGCTAAACAGACAGACAGGCGAAAAAGTAAACTAAGCAGAGGATGTTTGGCACACATCCATAATCTCAGCACTTAAGGATGAGGCAGAAGAATTAAGATTTTGAGGTCCATCCTGATTTTTAAGGGTTCAAAGTCAACCCAAACTACATAACAAGAGCCCACCTTAGAAAGAAAAGAAAGTGAGCTTAATCCAATATGATTCAACACAATAGGCTTACCTATAAATCCAAGTACTGAAAATTCAATATAAAACCAATTTTCCGAAGTGAGACTATTTACAAAATCTTTCATTTTTGTAAAATACATCTTTCTTGCTATGATATCGTCTTCTAGCTAGAGGAAAAAAAAGCAAATACAAAAAAAAACAGTATTAATACTGCCAATGAATTCTTTTAAATTAATATTATCTCAAGACTAAAAATAATACTTTCAATATAGCACACTGGAAATGTTTTTTGACAGGATAATAATCTTCAGTTCGATCCACTAAGGCTACTTTCAGTTAGTCAAAGCTCATTCTCTGGCTATGAGATCAATCAGACCTAAAGGTGTCTTTTTCTCTCCTAAATGCTGACCTAGAACATTCTACGTAAGTCCTCTTTGAGGCTCCTTTGCATCCATTTTAATTCTCATCAACATTTTAGCTTCTAACTAAGATGGTCGGACTCCATTCTGGTTGTTATAACACGATCTCACAGGCAGGCTTATACACAACCGTAAGGCTGGTTAATGCTAGCGGTTCTGGACTCTGGGGAGACCAGGGTCCAGGCGCTGCTGAGGCCGAGTCTTCATGGCGGTCTCACTGTGTTCACTGACAAAGAGAGACCTTCTGTCTGAAAACACCAATCAATCATCAGGACTCTGTCCTCTGGACCAAATCACACCCCAAAGGTCCTACCTCGTGTCACACGAGGACTTCAGCACAGTAATTTAGGGCGGAAACACAAACATCAAGAGAGAAGCAGCCACAGACTTGCTCGCACCTGAGGTACGCTGCCAGGTTCCATCTGGAGCTCCCATGGGCTTTTGTGAGAAGTGGCAGGAAGGAGCTGCCATTCCCACCCACCCCTGACCGGTCAGAAGGATGATGGCAGGAACCTCAGAAGGAAAGCGGGTAAGGCAAAAGCTGTCTTTCTTGATTTCACAAACACGATGTGAGGTCCTTAGACTAAGGCGTTTCCCACATCAACCACATCAGGAGGGCACGAACAAGAACCGCTGTCCCAGAATGCAAAGAACCGGCTGCAGCGGACATCCCTCTGCTTCGCCACTGCGCAAGAAGAGCTGTTTTTCTTCCAGTCTCAGGAAAGATCTTGTTCTCAGCCTGTCTCTCGCTTTCTCCTGGCCCTCTATTGATAATTCTGAAAATGTCACAAGTGCACACTTTCCTCTGTGGTGAGGTTTGTACTTATTACAGGATGCATGCCGCAGCTATTCGGCAATCTGAAGGGACTGATCCCCATGATGGACTCATTTCTACAGCGTCACCGAGGCAGTATGGAGCAGAGCCATCGCAAAGTGAGAGGCCGGGTGTGGTGGCAATCTGGGTAGGTTCACAACATAACCTACAATAAGGCTTAGACATGCGCACAGGGTGATTTCCATGTCTTCCCAGGAGCTTTACAGTTTCTTTTTTGTTTGTACCCTCTAACTTTAATTTTCTCTGCTACAGCGAACACAGAAAGAAGATATAATAAATCTTAAGCTTCCTTTGGGAATATTGATTTCTTAAATATTTCCTATTTGCTTGGCTACAAACTAAGGCAGAGCAACCCAAGGAGAAAAGGAATTAAAGGAAGGATTGAAACAGTAAAGCTTCCATTTCAAATTCATGTTATGTATACCAAGTTTTCACCTGTAAGTAATACGTGGCCTTAGGTCGGGCATACAGCATCAAAACACAAAAATCCAATGTTTGTTTCATTTGCCAACTAAAAATAAAGAATAAAATCTATTAATGTTCACTATAGCAGATTAATTTATAAGCCTATTCAGTAGTTGAATAACACTTTTACATTTCTGATGTAACAGTATAGACAGTGATTAAAAGGGAATATATTTAAGCTAAAGTTATACTAAAGAGCTTCTCTATCGAGTGGGGAGCACCTGCCTCTGCTAAACTAGAATGAGCACAGACCAGGCATTTTACATTTTAGCAAAATTTTTATTTAGGCAATAAGTTACTGTCGGCTTGACAAAAACTGGAGCCCCTTAGGAAGAGGGGCCCTCAACTGAGGAAACGCCTCCATCAGATTGGCCCGTCCACAGCTGTGGGGGTGTTTTCTTGATTAGTGGTTGCTGCTGGGGAACCCAGTCCACGGTGAGTGGCACCACACCTGGGTGGTCCTAAGCTGTAGAGGGAGGTAGCTGAGCATGTGTTGGAGATGAAGCCAGTAGGCGGCGTTTCCCCATTGGTTACTGTTGCTGCTCTGAGTTCCCGCCTTGGCACGCCTCAGGGATGGCTGTGATGGGGGATTGTGAGCACATGAACCCTTTCCTCCTCTAAGGTGCCTCGGTCAGTGTTTTATCACCATGACAACAGCAAACTAAGGCAGCCTTTCTCCATCACATGGAAGTATTTAGAAACCTTACTGTACTTTATCAGCAAGCAGGGCACTGGGCCATGTCCTGCAGATACAAGACACAGGCAGTTCTTGCCCTAGGGTCTCCCTGACTATTAAGGGATTGTGTTGGGCTAAGTCATTAACAGCGAAAATCTTTGTACAACAAGATGGGAAGAGCAGAAAAATGGAACCGAGAAAGCCAGGGTATGGCATGTAGCTGAAATACAGTGCCAGAGACCAACCAGAGCATGAAGGATGTCTTCTGACATGTGAGGAGCATTGGGCTTGATCTCATATGGATGACAGAGTCTTCTGACCACAGGAAGTGAGTCTGAGATGGCAGACTGAGCAAGAGAGTCTGTGCCTGAGCAGACCTGAGCCAGGCCATGGCAGAGGGACGGAGGTGGGGAGAACGGTGCCCAGGCTTTCAAGGGAGGAGACGGAAGAGGAAAGGCTGCAGGTTAGCAAAGGTCTGACAACTTCCAGGGTACAACACCAATAAGGATAAACAAAAACGCTTATGTAGTTTGGGATCCAAACACACCACATATAATATAATATGAGCATATAATAGGTTCTCAGGGAAGGGACTTCCCCTGAGATTCCTAGCAAGCCTTTATCTTTATTTTTAATTAATTATTTATTTTACATGCCAACTGCAGCCTCCCTTCTGCCTCCTCCTGCAACCCCTCCCAATCCACCCTTTCCCTGTATTCACTCAGAAAGGGGCAGGCTTCCAAAGGGTATCAGCAAATTACTTTTTTTTAAAAAAAAAATCAATGTCTACTAAACACTGTGAATATATACTATTTCATTGAACATATCGGCAAAATTGAGGCAATTAAGGGCAAAGGGTCAATTTACCTGTCTAAAATGACGAGGGCATAGAAAGCTGGTAGCAGGTTTCATGAGCCATGAGCTCCAATACCAGGCTCCCCCGCTCCCTCACTGTGTTTCTGCTCCTCAGAGTGCCCTCAGCGGGGGGGGGGGGGGCTGGCAGATGCTGCCTACCCACTCAGAATGGGCAGGATGGCCACTCCTCGTGGGTATCATCTGTATCTTCTGCCCATTTTCATGGATTAATACTATGATGGATTTCATGCTACCAACTAAATGTCCCTGGGCTAGGGCTCAGAATGTGATTCTCAGGCAACCATTGCAAGTCAGTAGGAGCTGGCCTCCCCAGGTCACGACACTGTGGGTCATTGTCTCCCAGGTGTCCATCCCAGGACACCAGTTTGGTGTGGGAGAACTGTCTGTATTCTGTCAGTCATATTTTAATAAAACGCTGATTGGCCAGGCAGGCAGTATAGGCGGGAAAGCCAGACAGGAAGTAGAGGTGGAACAAAGAGACTGGGAGTATTCTGGAAAGCAGGACGCTCCCTTCGCAGTTCTGCCCAGACCACCGGAGAGGAAAGATGTAAGCTGCCCAGCTGAGAAAGGTACTGAGCCATGTGGCTAATGTAGATAAGGATAATGGGGTAACATAAGAGCTAATAAGTAGCCTGACCTAATTAGCTACATTATTATTGGATAGTGGACCAATCAGTTTATAATCTTATGGAGTCCTGTGTGTGATTTTCTTTGGGCTTGCCGGCCCTCATGTTACACCAGTTCTTTCAGGTCCATTCTGTGACCTACCTTTCTGAGTCCTCCGTTGTTTTCTTGCCCAGTAATACACTCGGATAAAAAAAGGTGGGTATTGAAATGACTTCCAAGGACCCAGACTGCACTTGTCTTTTGAATCTAGAAACAGAAATATAGGGAGGTTGAATACCCAATATGGTTGAATATCTTAACTTACCAAAGTAATGTAAATACTTAAAAAAATACCTTCTTTATGTGTGTCCACATAATGTACGGATTTGGATTATCTCACAGGTTGCTTCCTGATACCAATAACGTACAAGTACTATTTACTAAGCAAAATATTTATAAGCTAATGAAAGATATATTTTTGAAACAGACTAAAATATATGGGCCAGCAAGATGGCTCAGTGTGTAAAGACACTTGTCCCACAAGCCCAGTGATTCAAGGGTCATCTCTGAAGCTCACATAAAGTGGAAGAGAGAACAATTATCCCAGAGTGGTCCACTGACCTCCGTGCCCAAACTGTGGTATGTATGCCCCATAACATGAACACAGAAAAATAGATCAAAAAATTTGAAAATTAGAATGCAAAATATAAAATAAATTTCCCACAGAATTATAGATACTGTGAATTTTCTTAAGCTGGTCAAAGGCATCCTTTGGCAGTCAGTAGGAGCGAGAACAGGCTACAGTAACAAAGCGGCTAGAAGGAAACCACTGCCAGCTGCGGGGGCCCAGTGGTGCGGTTCTCTGCAGGGGCTCACTGCGGAGGCTTGAGTGCAGCGACTCTCTTTCTGAAAGGATACATTTCCGTTTACTGAGAACCTTGCTCAACAGCAGTGCAGCTTCTGAAGTTAGGCTAAATGGCTAGCTAGGCTTGGCCTGACTTGCCTCCATTGCCCACTGAGCTGTGAGGATGTCTTAACAGTGGCTATGGCTGGTCCTCCTGCTTCTGCCTCCAAAGTACCAGGATTATATAGTCTGCTGCTCCATTCACCTTCTAGTGTAAAATTTATAAGGATGAATTCTAGTATTTCCTCAGAGAGTGGAAACTACTGGTAGAGGAGAGCAGACTGGGGAGTTACATATGGCTGGAAATAAAGATAAGTAACAGAGTATCTAATTTTAAAATGAAAGTATCTACCTTAGAGGCTTATATAGGAGTAACATGCAGTAGAGGCATGAAGATCACACGAGATTTCAGCATCCAGAGTGGCAGAAAATCTTGGACTGTGGAGGCTAATATGAAGTTTACACTGCAGACAACACCCAAATCCTAAGGCACCAAGGTCAAATAACTTCCCACTCGGTGGTCTAATTTCCCTTTACTGATGGAGAGAGATTTAGTCCTTTGTAATCCTGGGTGATGACAGTTTGCTAGGATCTTTTTGAAACATTTCTGGGTTATGAGTTTATGTTACATCAGAAGTCCCTGAAGTAACTATTCCAGAATTGACAGCCACCATTATAAACCAACAGTCCCCTTCATAGTAATATGTAAGGGGAAACTGTGCAGTGATATAGTTTTGTATAAAATACAGCCACGTTCAGTCCCAATAAGGTTTTATGTATATAACATTAGTGTTTTAAAAATTATTGAGCAGTTCCAAATTTATGACCAATTAAAATCTAGTATCCTTCCTCATTACTCCAGAAGATCTGGACAAAATGCTTTAGCTAAATGGTATGAAATTAAACATGGATTGAAATTTATACATTCATGTTAACTGACATGTAGCAACTGAGAAACAATCACTTAGAAAAATTTGGGGGGTAGGGACTGAACCCAGGACTGCTAACAAAACCCAGTCCAAACCTCATCACTACATTTTGAACTCATTTATTCTTTAATGTGTTCATTTGAATGATGGAGCTGAGCTGCAGAGGTAGCTCACAGGGTAAAACTGCATGCTGTTCAACCATGACCGCCTGTTTGGATCTCAGAATCCACGGGAAACCAGGCAGGGCTGTGTTTGTGTTCATTCTTGTGACCCTGGCACTGTTGGAGGGCAGAGGCAGGAGCATTCCTGGACTTGCTGGCTATCAGTCTAGCTCCAGGTACAGCTAAACACCCTGGGTCTAAAGGAATAAGACTGAGAGAAATAAAGCAAGGTGCCTGAAATCCTCCCCTGGCCTCTGCAAGCAAACAGGTCGTACACACACACACACACACACACACACACACACACACACACGTATACACACACACACACACCACACTGCATACAAACACATCACACTGATATACATACTTACTAACTCACATAAAATAAAAATAATTGATTTATTGCATTGTCACAATTTAAAAAGCAATCATTCAAAGTGCCCTGCATTAGCATCAACACTATTACCAACACTAGAACTAACTGCCTCGGAAATCATCTCACACAATTTTCTCAGTCTTCATTTTCGGCTATAACACACAGCAGTTTCTGAAACCACTGATTTTTACATGTGTGTGCTGTGTTTGTGTGTGTTTCTGTTCCTCTGCATGCATGCAGAGGCCTAGGAATGGTGTTAGCTGTTTTCCTTAGTTTCTGTACACCTTACGCATTGAGTCAGGGTAGGGTTGATCTGTCTTAGAGAGCTCGCCAACTCAGCAAGCCTGAGCAGCCAGCTTGCTGCGGGGGGGGGGGGTCCCCTCTTCATCTCCTACACGCACAGTAGATTACAGGGGGGCTACTATGCCCACATGGCATTTTTTTTTTTTTAATGTGAGATCTGAACTCTGGTCCTCAGGCTTGCAAGGTCAGCGTTTTACCAGCTGAGCCATCCCTGCAGTCCCCACTGATGGTATCTCTGAAACTATAGGGCAGATCCCAAGTGTTCGCATACAAGGGATAACGGTTTTCTTTTTCCTTTTGGCTTGTGATCTTGACAATTCCCCACCCACTTGTTTTTGCTTTATCCATGCCAACTACTTCACAGAGTAAACCAAGACAGAAGGTGCCACTGCTGGGTTGCTCCTGCGAGCCAGACTCAGCTCAGTGGCCAGGCTTAGGGCTCTGGTCAATAGAAAACTGCAAATCCCTTAGCCTTGTACAGCATCTCTCCATAGCTTATCCCACCTCCCTATTTAACCCCAAGCATCTCTGCTCCTAAAGCACTTAAGGTTCCAAAAGTCTTGCACGTTGCCCTTTGGACCTCCTGCCTTTCCGATGGAGTCTGTGGCAGGCACCGGCTCTCTGCTTTTATCTGCCCAGGAAGCCTACTCGCACCCAAAGAGAGAGCTCATCCCTTCCTTCCCCCATCTGCAGGGGGACTCAGACACAGCAAGGAAAAGTGAATCCCAGTGAGCAGTCTGCAAACTCAGGAAAAATTCTATGCTCAACTTTACCACAATTAGGCAAAGCCACGGGCTCATCTTCTGCGGCTTGGAGTCACTAAAGATAATACAATCAATAAACAATAACACAATTGGACAGGAAAGAGTATAACATAAAAATAAAGGGTGGCTGATGTTGAACTTTATCAGAAAGTACTTACTTTGTTTTAACCATGTCGACCACATAGTTCAAATAATCACCAGTCTAAAAGAAAAAGAGAAATCACTGAATATTAAGGATGTCTCATGGTTTTATCGACACAACACTTTTACTACATGGAATTTATGTGTGAAGTTTCATCGTGACCTAATGATTTCTAGTGTTTTCACTTTCTAGGAGAAAATATAAAATATACATATTTATTTTAAAGAACATTTACTTGAATACAGAAACTACTGCACACTTCTCCGTGTGTCAACGGATGGGATGTTACAGTAATCACACTTAAATCAGTATGCCCACCCGTATGCATCTAAAATGAAGCCCCTTCGACTGAGGGTGTGTTCGACACCCAATCTGAGCCAAGCACCACTCCAGGTGCGGACATCTGAAGTACATTAGCTAATGCCAGCCTCAAAAGTCCTGCGACATAAAGAATACGATCACCCTGATTTTGTACAAGAAGAGAGCACAGAAAAGCTCGCTGAGCTGCCAAGGTCACATGGCAGGAAGTGGAACAGAAGTGGAGGGTGACCACACAGGTACAGTCTGTGCTCTTAACTAGCCTGCTGGATCCTCATACCATCACTGTGTCCAGACGCTTGCCTCTCTCCTAAGGACCCGAGTTCCCAGAATTAGAATTTTAAAATGTGATGTGTGTTGCCACCTCCTCTCCCCAAAAGTTTATGACATTAATACACAATTCTTTATAGTTTTACTCAAATTTTCAAAATGAAATCGTGATTACTATTTCGGATGAAGGTGAAAAAGAAGATGATGCCGTTGTTGGGGAGACCTACACCCCGACCTTCATTACTGGGCAAGACGTCTTCTTTAAGCTGTCATTCATTATTCATCCCGCCCCTCGGAGCTCAGGGATGACCCCGCCCCAAGAGGAAGTGGGAAGAGTGTGAGAGCAGAGGGGATGGAGGACACCGGAGAACGAGCGAGCGAAGCTCGCACGAACTCAGAGACGAGGCAGCATGCCCAGGGCCTGCACAGCTCTGCACCAGACGTCTGGGTCTATATTCTGACCTCTAGTTTAGTGTTTTATGGGATTCCTCAGTGTGTGAACGCGTGAGTCTCTGACTCTTGTGTCTTCTCTTGGGCTCTTTTCCTTCTGTTGCTCTGTCTTGTTCAACTTGGATGTGATAGTTTTTGTTTTATCTTATTATACTTTATTTTCTTTTATTTTTTTAATGAGTGAATGAATGAACGAATAAATGAATGAAAACCTAGTGACTAGGGTAAAGGTTAACAGCTGAACTATCTTTTATACCTGCTGGAGAAGGTAAAAATCAGTTTTCTCCAATGGAGTGACACTGGGTTTATAAGTCACTCCAGGGTAGGCCGCATGTTCAGGAGTAAATGACCAGGGTATGATGTATGATGGACTACACAGAGGTGTGTGTGTGTGTGTGTGTGTGTGTGTGTGTGTGTGTGTGTATGTGTACTTTCATTTGGTGTTGTTTATTTTGGGTGGTGGTGTTTAATTTTGTTTTCTTGGTTTGGGGAAGTTGTGGTTGTACTGGGTTTTTGTTCATTTTTTGAGAAAAAATTTAGGGTAGGTATTCGGGAGAGGATCTGGGAGGACTTCAGGGAGGGGAAGAATCTGATCAAAATACATTTAAATTTAAAATTGCTTTAAGTAATAAAGAAGGATACAAGTGCTTTAAAAAATAAATAAAATTGGCACAGACTCTGACTGCACAGAGCAGACCAAAAGGGGAGTAACCAGTTCCCCAGCTGGACTGCCCAAACTCTAGTCCCTCGGCCTGGGGCAAAGCCCTGGCCCCTTGCCCACCTGCCTCAGCTTCACTAGGTGGCCAGCAGGCAAGCCACCTGCAGGCAGACTGCTCTAATACCCCCATATCTATGGGACCCTGCAAGCCTCACTCTGCTCCCAAACACACCCATCCCCGGCAACCTCAGCGGCTCTCTGAGGCACATACTGCGGCTGCATAGACAGGAACAAGAGGAAAGTGACCAGCTTCCTAGCTGGACAGCCTAGTCTCTAGACCCTCAGTCCTGGTCCACAACCCCAGGCCCCTCCCCGACCCATCTCAGCAGCTCTAGCTGGCCAGCAGGCAAGCCTCCTTCAGGCAGGCTGCTCTAACAACCCCTCATTGATCAGACCCTGTAATCTACAAGTCCCACTCCACTCCTAAGCCCACCCATCCCCCTAGTAGCTCCCTGAGACACAGACAGCAACTGCAACAATGGGTCCAAGAGATGATCCCCGAGATACAGACACCAACTGCAAGGACTGAACCAAGAGGCAGAGACTGCCTGTGCCAACTGGAAGAAGAGATGGTTGGCACAATGCAAGACTTCATTCAACAACCTAAGGAGCAGCATGGTAACACCAGAACACAGTGGTCATACAACAGGAAGACCTGAACATCCTAACCAGAAGCAGAAGAAAACAACCTTAAATGTAATTTTATGAAGATGATAGAGACCCTTAAAGAGGAAATGAAAAATTCCCTTAAAGAGATAAAGCAAAAGACAAACAAAAATTTGGAAGAAATCAATAAATCTCGTAAAGAAAGTCAAGAAAAACCAATCAAACAGGTAAAGCAACAGTTCAAATGATTCAAGACTTGAAAACTGAAATAGAGTCAAGAAAGAAAACACAAATCGAGGGAATTCTGGAAATGGAAAATATGGGTAAACAAACAGGAACTACAGATGTAATCATAACCAACAGAACACAAGAGATGGAAGGAAGAATCTCAGGCATTGAAGATGCAATAGAGAAAATAGATTCATTGATCAAAGAAAATGTTAAATCCAACAAATCCTTAACACAAAACATCTATAAAATCTGGAACGTTATGAAAAGACTAAACCTAAGGGATAGAGATAGAAGAAGGAGAAAAACTCCAGCTCAAAGACACAGAAAATATATTCAACAAAATCATAGAAGAAAACTTTCCCAACCTAAAGAAGGATATTCCTATGAAGGTACAAGAAGCTTACAGAACACTAAATAGGCTGGATAAAAATAAAAAGTCCCCTCGCCATATAATAATCAAAAAGCAAAACATACAGAATAAAGAAAGAATATTAAAAGTTGCAAAGGAAAAAGATCAAGTAACATATAAAGACAGATTTATCAGAATTACAGCTGACTTCTCATTGGAAACTCTGAAATCAAAAAAGTCCAGGAGAGATGTGCTACAGACACTAAGAGACTAAGGATGCAAGCCCAGACTACCATATCCAGCAAAGTTGTTAATCACCAGAGGGGAAAAGAAGATATTTCATGACAAAGACCAGATTTAAACAATACTTATCTACAAACCCAGTCTTACAGAAAGTACTAGAAGAAAAACTCCAACCCAAGAAAGCTAGCTGCACCCACAAAAACACGGGCAACAGATAACCTCACACTAGCAAACCCCAAAGAAGGAAAATACACAAACACTACCACCAAAGAATAACAGGAATTAACAGTCACTGCTCATTAAAGCTCTTAATATCAATGGGCTCAATTCACGTATAAAAAGATGCAGGCTAACAGAATGGGTACGAAAACAGGATCCATCCTTCTGCAGCATATAAGAAACACACCTCAACTTCAAAGACAGACATTACCAAAGAGTAAAGGTTGGAAAAAGATTTTCTAATCAAATGAAGCTAAGAAACAAGTGGGTGCAGCTAGCCAATCCTAATGTCTAACTCAAACAGATAAAAGACACTTAAGGAACTGCTCAACATCCTTAGTCATCAGGGAAATGCAAATCAAAACTACTCTGAGATACCATCTTATACCAGTCAGAATGGCTAAGATCAAAAACACTGATGATAGCTTATGCTGGAGAGGATGCAGAGTAAGGGGAACACTCCTCCATTGCTGGCTGGAGTACAAACTTGTACAGTCACTTTGGGAATCAGTATGAAGGTTACTCAGAAAATTGGGAATCAACCTACCTCAAGACCCAGCATATACCCAAAAGATGTTCAATCACACTACAAGGACATTTGTTCAGCTGTGTTCATAACAGCATTATTTGTAATAGCCAGAACCTGGAAACAACCTATGTGCCCCTGAACTGAAGAATGGATAAAGAAAATTTGGCACATTTACACAATGGAGTACTTACTCAGAGGTAAAAAACAGTGACATCTTGAAATTTGCAGACAAATGAATAGAACTAGATAAAAAACCACCCTGAGCGAGGTAACCCAGACCCAGAAAGACAAACATGGTATGTACTCACTCATAAGTGGATATTAGGTATAAAGCAAAGAATAACCAGCCTACAGTCCTCAGCTCCAGAGAAGCTACGTAACAAGGAGAACCCTAAGAGAAACATATGAATCCCCCTGGGAAGGGGAACTAGTCAAGATCTCCTGACAAAATTGGGAGTGTGGGGTGGGGAGAGAAGGGAGGGCAGAAGGGGAAGAGGGAGAAGGGGAGGGGAGAGGAGAACATGCGGGAATGTGATGGCAGAGATGGGGGAAGGAGAGAGAGGGAGAGCAAGGGAAGAGATATTTTGATTGAGGGAGTCATTATGGGGCTAGCAAGAAACCTGGCACAAGGGAAATTCCCAGGAATCCACAAAAATGACCCCAGCTAAGACCTATGCAGTTGTGGAGAGGGTGCCTGAACTGGCCTTTGGCCTTGCCCTGTAGTGTCAGATTGATGACTACCTTAATTGCCATCATAGAACCTTCATTCAGCAACTGATGGAAGCAGAGGCAGAGACCCACAGCAAAGCACGGGGCTAAACTTCTAAAGTTCAGTTGAAGAGTGGGAGGAGCAAAAATATGAGCAATAGGGTCAAGACCATGATGGGAATACCTACTGAAACAGCCGGCCTGAGCTAATGGGAGCTCACCGACTCTGGCCTGACAGCAGGGGAACCAGCATAGAGTCAAACTAGGTTCTCCAAATGTGGGTGACAGTTAATATGGGCGGAGAGATCTGTGGGGCCACTGGCAGTGAGACCAGGATTTATCCCTACTGTCTGAACTGGCTTTTTTAGAGCCCATTCTCTTAGGAGGGATACCTTGCTCAGCCTAGATCCAGGTGGGAGGGCCTTGGTCCTGCCTCAAGTGCTGTGTCAGACTTTGTTGACTCTCCATGGGAAGCCTCTCCCTCCCTGAGGAGTGGATGGGGTTGGTGTTGGGGGAAGGTGGAGGGGGATGGGAGGAGGTGAGGGAGTGGGAACTGGGATTGGTATGCAAAATGAGAAAAGATTTTTTTTAAAAAAAATTAATTAATTACAAAAATCAGGATAGTGACACATACTTTACAGGTATTACAACAGTTACAAATAATGTCTAGAACAATTCACAATCTCTCAGACATAGGATGGAGCCTTCTTAATAGTATTTACCAGAACTTAATAATGCATATACCAACATTTTATTAAGCTAGGCAGATTTTATCTCTATAGTAACAGTTTTAATACTCTATTTGAAAGTTAAAATTGCAATTAAGTTATTTAATTTATAATTAAATTGAATAATTTTGTGTTTTGCTGGATAAAAGAATCCTATGTTAAATACAATTTGATTTTAACAGTCATAGACTCTCACATAAGATTCATGTTTACACACACAGTTCTCAGTGGTATCGAATAAGTACTAACTATTTTACCTAGATTCTAAGAGTATCTGTGGGATACTTCCTTTAAGTGGAAAAAAAAAAACCCCTACAAAACAAAACAAAACAAAACATGATGGGATAGAGGCTGCTGCTCGGGGCTTTGGAGGCTACAGAGATGGATGAGGGAACCTCGTTTCCCATACTTACATCGGCGACAGAGATAATCACCACAGAGTCTTTCTCTTCTTCAGGGGTCATCCTGGACAGAATAGAGGTCAGCGTTTGCTTCAGGTAGGTATGGTTCCTTCTGCCAATGGTGGTGATTCCCAGTGCGAAAGACACTGCCGACAGAGGCACACACATGGAGGAAGTCATGCTTGACCATCAGATCTTAATTGCCCACGCCTGTGAGCTGGTCTTACACTTGCCTTTAAAAAGAGCGTTTTGAGTCACACTACCAAAATACTGTCTGTGCCCTGACTTTCATTTTCTGCCGTTCGCAGTGGACTGGGAATAAGTGCACTAGAATTCCAAGTGTTCTTAGGTTGCAGAATTTTGTTGTAGAGAAACGAAAATGAAACATTTTTCTTTTGTTAATACAGCTAACTCAGTATACTTCCTCCCACAACCTCTGGTTCTCTCATCTTCTTCCTGAAGAGACAGCGGAGTCCCAATTGGGAAAGACACTCTGAAACGTTGTCATTTGTGGAAACCATGAATGAAGTCGTTTCTAAAGGGTTTGATGGAGTAAATATGTATCTCAAATGACTTTAGGTACCTATAATGAGTACAGGTACCTAAGATGCACAGGCCCCTCAAGACCTAGACAGGAACTAAGCTTTTCCTGGGCATCTCGTCACCCTCACGTCTGGCTGTGTAAGGGCCCCGCCAACCTTTTCAGCTTTGATTTCCCCATTGTATATATATATATATATATATATATATATATATATTATATTATATTATATTATATTTAGTCTGGGCTATCTTTATCCTTCATGCCTAATATCTTACAGTTCCTGTGTATTTTTTCCTGCTGTCCATCAACTTCTATTGTAAGCTATAGTGCACACGCATGCACACACACACACACACACACACACACACACACACACACACTCACACCATTCAAAATGCCCAGAAGGCTCTGAAGGGGGATTCTGATGAAGGTAGAGGTATCTACAATGTGACCGCAAAAAATTCCTCTAGTCTCAGTTCCACGGGTCTAAGATAGGCTAGAGAGTAATTAGCCTCACTGTCCTGGGTCTGGGGACTAAGAAGAGTAATGGAAAAGGTTTAGTTTGGGAAACACAGTTAAGAATTTAGTAAACACTAAATGATGTTTCAGAGTTCCACTATCTCCACACTCCAGGCCTGGGCAACATGTCAGAGGACTGTGATGCACACTTATCCCCGAGGAACTGATGTGTCTTGGGGCTGCAAACCTATTCTGTGAAGGGTCAGACAGCACAGACGTTTGGCTGTTGTGCCGTGCTGTCTCTAGCGAGAGCATGCATACATGAACAGAGCTGTATCCCAGGAAAAGTCTCATGTAGAATCTGGCAGCTGGGAAGACTGACTCAAGTTGGCCCTCGCACTGGAACAGATGAGACTTGTGTCAGACATTCTGAGACTTGGCTCGGTGTCTGCTTCTAGCTGCAGTGTTGTGTTTTGATCTGTTATGTATGATGAGCCTGAACTCATGCTTCTATGTGGAATAGTGATGCATAGCTGTAACCCCAGAGATCTGGAGGTAGGAAAAAGGCATTATGAGTTCAAGGTCAGCCTGGGTTACTGATGTGGGATTCCCCTCTGTATGCTGTGAATACCATTGGTTAATAAAGAAAGTGCTTTGGGCCTATAACAGAGCAGGACAGAACAGAGATAGGTGGGGAAAACTAAACTGAGTGCTGGGAGATAAAGGGCAGAGTTGGAGAGACACCATGTAGCTGCCAGTGGGGAAAGATGTGAGCTGCCACTTGGAACCATGCCTGTAAGCCACGAGCCTCGTGGTAAAATATAAAGTCATAGAAATGGGTTCATTTAAGGTGTAAGAGTTAGCCAGAAATATGCCTAAGCTATTGGCCAAACAATATTGCAAACAATATAGTTTCTGTGTGATTATTTCGGGAGTCTGGGTGGCCGGGAACAAACAAGCGGCCTTGCCAGTTGTGGTGGTGCACGCTGGTAGCATTTGCTGAAGGAGGCAGAGGCAGGAGGACCACAAATAAGCAACCTTCTACAACAGGTTACACAGTGAGGTCCTGTCTCAAAAAGAAAAGACCTAAAACCACAAATAAATAAACAACCATCCTCTCTTGGAAACCCATCTTTGCTGATATTGGTCATAAAACGGTGGGAGGAACAGGACAACCAGCAGCTAACAACAGGCTTGTCCATGCAAGGAAAACCCCTTGTGGGGCACTTAGAAGATACTTCGTGTGTACTGGACGTACGTCACAGATGTTCTGTGTACTGGACCTATGCCATAGATACCTCGTGTGTACTGGACATACACCATAGATGCCTCGTGTACTGGACATATGTCATAGGTGCCTTATGTGTACTGGACATACATCATAATGCCTCATGTGTACTGGACACATATCATAGATGCCTTATGTGTACTGGACATACGTCATAGATGCCTTATGTGTATCTGACATATGTCAATTAATTTTCTAAGCATCTGTAATGAAATTGAACTTAAATTCAAGTCACTAAATGTAGTGATTATTTTTTTCAAAATTCACACCTAATGGCTAGAAGTCTACGTAGTAGTATCTCACAACTTCAAATCCAAAAGTTTGGCCATGAAATCTAGAGGGATTTCTTGAAGGAGGGGGAAGATGGGAACCATTGAGAAGGGGGAGGATGGACAAGGGATGGTAGTGAGGGGACAAATATGACCAAAAAGAGAAGATAAACTCATGCGTGTGCACATGCACAACACACACACACACACACACACACACAAAATGACACACACAATGACACACATACAGATAATGACACACGTATATCCCACAATGAAACCCATTATTTTGTATGCTAACTGAAATTTTAAGATATAGATCCTCCCCCAAATCAAAATACTTGAACTCAGTTTCCCGATTCTAACGGTTCTTACCGCCTGCTTTCCCTCTGCCAGTGGCTATGTCCGGGTAAATTCTCTCCACTGTCCTCAGATGAGGGAGGAAGAACTTCAAGCCTTCAAATCCATTGGGACGTATTTCATTCTCACTCAGTCTGCTCACTTTCCTTTCAACTGGAAGAGAAAGAAAGGAGGGTCCCTGAGTTCACAGCAATATGTTTTGAAAATGTTATTTGTGAGGTAGAGGTGGGGGCTGCACACCCTAGCATGCATGCATGTGTGAGGCGCCTGCTGGGGCCTTAAAGTGGCATAAGGTCCCCTGGAGCTGGGGTCACAGCTCCTGAGGTGGATGCTGGGAGCAGAGTTCTGATTCTCTGGGAGGACGAGAGGCACTCAGAACTGCTGAGCCATCTCTCCAGCTCGACGCAACTTCTTAAAAAACGAGGGCTAGTTAATTCAGCCACAAACCTAGTGCTCAAGGAAATATCTGCAAGTTATTGTTATCATGATTCTATGTGGGAGAGTTCCACGGTTATTGATGAGTATCTATTTTTAAACCAGTGTTTAATTTCAGCCCAGCACTGCGAGCTATACCAGAAACAAGCAGAACCGCCCGTCCTGGACCGAGGGGCATGGATAAAAAGGGCTGTAATCGGTGCCCCTGCTACTTTGATTGATGTCCCTTGGTTAAAACTTGTAACTTTGTAATTTTTTATAACCGCTTAACATTCAGCAACTCTGTTTTCACCTTTGCCAAATAATCCCTTCTACAGTTTTGAAAAAAGCAAACAAAGGAGGGGCTCATATTCGTAGTAGCAATGTTGGAGAGAGGGTGATGGAGAAGGCGTGATGAGGAGAAGGTTGCCTGCTGGTTGCCCAGAGGCGTGTGAGACAAGAGGGATGGCAGACGATGCCAGCTGCTGGCTGCTTCTGTGAACTGATCGTGGATGTGGTAGAACTCAGAGAAAACATGGGGAGTCGCTGTCATGGCACAGATGGGGAAAGCGTATCATCTGTGTGTCTTCCCTGAGCTCTGCATGTCTCACAGTAAAACAGCATGTGAACTGGACTGTGTATTGTGGGGAAGTGACCTAGAGTCAGAAGCACCGACGTCTAAACCCCTGAGTTTTTGGAAACAGAGGACCATTCACAAAGGCAAAAGCAGCACGCACGGAAGTCTCCGGAGGCATTCGCTGTCTGGGCAATTTCATACTTCACTTGGTTCAAGACTTGCAGTAGATTTTGGCGATGATTTTCACTTTCATTTTTTAAACGTAGCATATTTTTCCTAAACTCCAAAACATGGTTTCTGCAATTAATTAGTTGACTGCCTGCAAAGGAAACAGAAATATCTAGTTTATGCATGTAGTGGGCAAAACGAAGTTTTCCGATAACAAAGGGGTTGTACATACATGGCACCACATATGAGAGTTATACATACAAGACACTATATTTGGATCTGTACATATATGCCACTATATGGGGGTTGTATACATATGGCACTAACATGGAGGTTGTACACATATGGCACAATATTTGGGATTGTACATATATGATGCTATATATGGGGGTTGTACATAGACATAAGTGAATATATATTATATTATACATATACTATATACAGACGGCTAAAAGACCAGAATGTTAAAAAACAGTCATAGTGAGAAACGATACTATCAATGATCATTTTTATTTTTTTACTTTGTGTTTTATTTTTCCAAATTTTCCTTATTATGAACATATTCGATTTGTAATTATAGAGAAAACCCACTGGCCCTCCTATAAATGGATGCTTAATTATTTATCTGTGGAGCTGGGCAGTGGTGGCACATGCCTTTAATCCTAGCACTCAGGAGGCAGAGGCAGGTGAATCTCTGTGAGTGTGAGGCCAGCCTGATCTACAAGTTCCAGGATAGGCTCCAAAGCTACAGAGAAACCCTGTCTTGAAAAATCAACAAAAATTAAAAAGTTAAAAAAAAGAGTTTATCTGTGAAAAGTCGAGGATGTTGCTGAGTGGGGCTCGCCTAGCACACACTGGGCTCTGGATTCCAGACCCATTGCCGGAACAAACAAAATATAAAATGAAAACCACAGTGACCAGGAACATAGATTAGTTGGATCTGAGGATATTCAACACAGGCATGCATAGGAGCCAGCTAAGGAGGCTGAGATTGCTGAGTTATGAAGGCAGAAATCATTCCAAGCAGCAGATGAGGAGGGCGCCTCATGTTGATTAGGTGTCTTAGTTAGGGCTCTATTGCTGTGAGGACAACGCCCTTGAGGAAGAGATTCAGAGCCACCTACGAAGTTAGAGAAGAAGTTCTCACGGACACCCATTATCTCCCGTAAGCCATCCTTCTCCATCCTTCTCAACATTAACACGTCCACATCGCCCTTCAAGGTAGTTAAAAGATGGGTTCAGGGTAAATGAGAACCAAGAAGCTTCTAACCATTGCTTTCTTGTTACCTTTGTTAGATGTTAGTAGGGAGTGAGTCAGAGCGGAAGAAAAAATCTTATACGTGTGCAAAAGGCCGGATATTTACTGCAATTCTACTTTTAAAACTCAGGATGCAGAGGCAGGGGATCTTTGTGACGTGAGTCCAAGTTTGCCTGGTCCACACAGTGAGTTCTGGGCCAGGGCTATGCACTGAGGCCTTGTCTTAAACAACTACTACTGAGTGCTCAATACCTTGCAGTATATGCTCCCAGAGTCTTACCTACTTCTATCTCTCATTTTACCACAAAAATATCAGGTAAATACGGGGAAATAATTCTGTGGATGGTTTGTTTTATATCAGAAAATGTGGATTTCTCTGGTAAACAATCTCCTTTTTCCTTCCTTCCTTCCTTCCTTCCTTCCTTCCTTCCTTCCTTCCTTCTTTCCTTCCTTTCTTTTTCTTCTTAAGGCCAATATGTTGGCTGAGCAAGCAGAGAGAGCTGTGCAGCAGAAGTTTAAGAATAAGACGTGGGGGGGGGGGAGGTGAGTTTACAAATTCCCAGGGTCTGAAACAGTGACTTCCTTCAGCTCTCACACAGATGGATGAACGAAGCAAATGGATTTGCCACATAAAAACTGATCTTAGTGCTTCTTGGGCTGAATCGTGTTTTCATCAAAGAACTGAACTGCCCAGTGTTCGTTTCACGGGTAGCATCCGAGGTGTAGCCACAGTGTACACTGTGTAGGGTCAGGGTTCCCTGGATAACTGTCTCTGCCAAATAAACCGTGTGTTGGAGTCGTTACCTTGCAGGTGATGCAATCTGCCTGAGACAGCCCCCTAGGGACTAATTTGGTACACATGAAGAGAGAGTGTTCTCTGGAGAGTACTATTCACAGAAACAGGCACACAGAGGTGTTTAAAGACATAACCGACAGTCGGCCCTGCTTCTTGCATAATCCCTGTGGGGAGTCTAGGTATCCCTGCTGTAGTAAGGAGCTCTCAGTGCTTACACAGGCACCCAGGCAGAGAGCAGGGACGATGCTGTACAGAATCAGTGTGGGAAGTTGGAGTTAAACAGCAGCTGCAAGCGCTGGTCCACTGAGCATCCTTGTGGAGCTGTGAAGCAAAGCCCAGTTTATATGAAGAATGGACCAAAGTGACTATTTTTATGCAGATTCTCTCTACATAGCCCTGGCTGTCCTATAACTCTACAGACTAGGCTGGCCTTGAACCTCTAACCCACAGAGATCTGCCTGTCTCTGTCTCCTGAGTGCTCAGATTAAAGGCATGCACACTATGCCTGGCTAGTGACTTCTATCTATTAAAAGCAAACAAATAAACAAAAACTCCAAGGGCCTGGCAGGATGGCAGGAAGCACACTTACCACCAAGCTTGATGACCCGAGTTCAATCCCTGGAACCTACATGGCAGAAGAAGAGAACTGACTCCCAAAGGTTGCCCTCTGACCTCCACACCTGGACCATTCCACCCCAATAAACAGATGGACGCAGAAAAAAAGTAAATAAAAGGCTCCAGGGCCGGAACTACAGCTCAGTGGTAGATTCCTTGCCTAGAACAAATGTTGCCAAAAATAATTTTTTAAATGTAAAAGGTTCCTGATATGGTCCTAAGCTCTCAATTTTCATAACAGAGGGCTTCAAATTGCTCTCAGATTTTTTTAAAAAAAAGGATAAAACTAAGTGTGGGAGCATACAGTCAGCACCCAGGATGTGGTGGGATATTTGTACACTGTGTGAAGATGTATTTCTGTGATTGGTGTAGTCAGGAGGTATAGGCAGGACTTCCGGGCAGAGAGAGAACTCTGGGGAGAAGGAAAGCAGAGTTGCCAGCCAGATATGGACAGGAAACAGGAGGTACGAGATGGAAGAGAGGTAACAGCATGTGACAGAATGCAGATTCATATAAATGGGTTCACTTAAGTTATAAGGGCTAGTGGAGACAAGCCCCAGCTAAAGACCAAGCTTTCATAGTTAATAATTAGTTTCCATGTCATTATTTGTGAGCTGGTGGCCCAAATGAAAATCTGACCACACCAGGAGGCTGAGGCAGGAGGACTGTGAGATTCAGGCCAGCCTGGCTGCCTACCTAGCAGGACTGTCTCAGAAAGGGAGAGAAAGAGAGGAATTCACATCTGTGTGTTTAAGTTCTCTTGTGTCCCCTTATGAAAATAGAGAAAGAAATAAGTGAAAGTATTTTACATCTTAATTAATCCATTATATCTAGATGGTATTTCATTATGAAAATAACCAGTGGGATGTAGTGTGAATTCTAATTGGTCTTAATAATAAAAACCCAGGGTTAGATATTGGGGTAAATGTTGGAAGATCAGAGACATAAAGGAGCAGCCACTAGAGACCTTTTACCTGTCCTAAATTCTCAGACCAAAGTGGGCAAGATCCTGTTTCACACAAATCCTCAGCTGAGAAGGGAGAGCATGTTTCAGATTGCTCCCTGCATTCTAACTGACAACAGTCAAATTACACTACAGTCAGATACCTTAAATTGCCCAGGAGTGGCCTTTCCTTTATCAAGACATGATAAACAGTACAAGTGAGAGCTCAGTGGATTGTAAGAGTGCACATCCACTGCCTTAGCCTTTGGGGTGCTGCGAGTGTGCCCAGACCACCTGTCCCTTTCTCAGCACCTTGGGAATGTACCTTACTTTATGCTTCAGGTATTATTAGGTAAAAAGATGTGTGTTTGGGGGCTGGAGAGATGGCTCAGAGGTTAAGAGCATTGACTGCTCTTCCGGACGTCCTGAGTTCAATTCCCAGCAACCACATGGTGGCTCACAATCAACTGTAATGAGATCTGGCGCCCTCTTCTGGCCTGCAGGCATGGAGGCTGAATACTGTGTACTTAGTAAATAAATAAATTTTTTTTAAAAAAAAATAGATGCGTGTTCTTCTACATTTTCTTCTTTTGCTTGCTGTACTTTTCAAATGTGTATGTGTTGCCCATAGGTGCACATGTGTTTATGAACATGCCTCAGCTCGTGTACAGGTAAAGGACAACTTGTGGGAGAAGGTTCTCTCCTTTTACTATACGGCTTCTGGTTATTGAAATCAGGTCAGCAAAGTCCATTTACCTGCTGAGCCTGTCCCAGTGTATGCTTTGGAGATTCATCCCTACAAATGGGCCAAGCTGTAATGCATACATGTTCACTGCTATAACTATGATCAGAGTGCATCACAACATGCTTTCACCTTGTTGAAGGATGCTTATAGGGATACTATGGATCAAGAACCTTTTATTCTGTCTTCTAATAAATGTATTCAAGTACTCCTCCAGAATATAGTAGTTTTATTGAAACTACTAAACAATCTCCATGTGTATGCATGACATACCCCCCCACCCGTTTGTATAGGTATGTAGGGAGATTTTCCCCTTCCAAAGAGAGTCTGGGAGAGATAAAATATGGTGCTCGAGGGTCAGCCTTTTCTCCCCCAATTCAGGCTGAGGCATGTTTCTCTGAAACTTGCAAATCATTGGGCCTGATGAAGAGGAACAGGGATGGGGAGAACAAGCTAAACCAAGAGAGACATCTGTGCACAGCTGCCAGGCAGGCCGGTTGAAGTGGTATAGACCTCCAGTTAACTGTGGCCAGAGACAATATTGCAGGGTCACCACAAGCATGCATCTGCTTGGTAAAGATCCTAGTCGAAAGGGGCTATGGCAGAGGGGCAGCTCATGGAGACCAGAGGCCACATCAAGGAATGAGTAGCCAGCTGGGAGAACCAAGCAAGACCCCAAAACAGCCACAAATAATCCCACAAAGAGCCAATCAGACGTAGGCCACAGAAACATCAACTAGAGAAATCAAAACCACCCTAGATCCCCGACCCCGACCCACCCCTCCCTCCCTCCTCGAACCCTCCAGGCAACCAACTACTCCACCCGCAGGGAAGCACCAGAAAGGTGCGAGATGGTATTTGCCAAAGGCGGCCAGAGGTACCTTCCCATCAGAGGTCTCCTGCTGTGTGACTTCATCCTCCATGCACCATGGAGGATGGTAAAGGTTGAGGACCAGTCTGTGCATCTACCCTGTGTTGCCTCCACAAGGAAAACATGGTTGAAGTCCTGTACTATCCTTCCCTGTCTCCCCCAACATCTGAGCTCATGCCACAGTCCTAAGGCTTTAGCTATAGTTGTTCTTGTTGTCCCCTTAAGCCCAGTGGAAACTCCTCAGAAAGGCGGAATTTCTGCAGCCGTTGTCGTCGTTGATCCATCGCTTACAATGGAACAGCTACTGACTTGTTCACTCATTTACTCAATCATTGTTGTTGTTGTTGTTTCCAAAAAAGTGTCTGGCCTGCTTGTTCTGTGCCATACACTTTTTTCTTGGACACTAGATTCACATCAGGGGACAAAACAAGACAAGAATAGAAAAGTATCTTCACCTTCATTCACTGAGGTTAAATGTTTTCAAACAAATCAATTATTAATACCATGAACTTACAGAAAACAAAAATACTATCTGTTCATAAAATTAGTTGTTATTTATTTATTTATTGCGCCTATGTAATTCTGGCTGGCCTCGAACTCATAGAGATCTGCTTGCTCCCGAGTGCTGGAATCAACAAACATCAACTAATTTATAAAGGGAGAAAAGACTAGGTGCTAGATCTGGCTGTCTTTCTGTGTTTCTAAATTCGCACTGATAATATTTAAAGCTATTGGGAAAAGAGGAAAGATGCTGGCATGCTTGTAGTGTCTGGAGGAGGAGATCTGGAAAGAGGAGAGGAGAGAGGCCGCTTTGGAGGGACCGGTCAGCGCGAGGCCAGAGGGCCGGATCCATCAGCGCGCGTCTCATGGTGACTCCCAGGACCGGTTATAGCCCAACCGCCAGGGGGCGTGGGGCTGTGCCCTCCATCGGTACAGCCGTGGGGAGGGGCATGAGACCTCCAGGGTGTCCCTCATCTCCCTTCCTTCCTGACATAGGCGGTGGGACTCCCCGACTGAGGCAGGATGGGGACCGACCGTTCCCGTCCCCGTTCCCCTCCTTACTGGTTTGGTTCATCTTGGAGATACAGAAACAGGAGAAGCAAAAGAGCAGGGTCGCAACGAAGGCGAAGAGCAAGTTCACGTTCTTTGCCTTCATCGCGCCGGCGTCACGGCGGGTGGACGCGACCCGCGTAGCTGCAGGCTGGGGGCTGCACGCCGAGGCTGGAAGAACGCGGACCTGAGTCTCGGACCACGCGCGGGCCGTCGTTAAGGTCCCCAGCACTTTAGCCGGGTCAGATCTCGGTCCCTTCTTGAGCGCACTTTATGACCCTCTGGCTAGGGCAGCGGGGTGTTTAAATGTGAGAAAAACTGTGGGCAAGCCCACGACTGTATGGCTCTGGCTGGACAACACCAACTCAGCGTATTCTCCTGAGAGAACTCATCAGAATTTTGATTCAAAGGTGAAAAACCGCGAGGTCCTTTCATCCGTGTTTCCGATTTGACTTTTCCACTCTGAACTCTCTTGGAGACTCGCGGGCAATGGTTGGGTGATAAGCAATCTCTTTTCTGCAAGCGCACCCCGGTTTCTGGCCCCTTTGAGAGTTTAAAAAGATTTGGATTCCCATCTGCTTGACAATGGCACACAGAATGCTAAAGACCGGGAGTAGCGAGTAGTGAGACCCTGAAAGGAAGATAAACCTTTCCGCTCCTCCAGGCCCTCTGTTTCCCAGGCATTTGCTAAGCACTCTTAGCAGCCACAAGGCAAGCAAACCCTGATAGGTCAGACACACACTTGCCAGGCTACGGAGCGATGGAGAACGGCCATGCTACGGAGAACTGAGAGAAGGAAGGCCTCTGCAGAAGGGAAGGGCATCGCAACGGATTCTTATGCTCATTGGAGCAATTTTTTTTGGTAGCGTTTCTGCTGGGATATCTCACGTCCAAGCATCTCCCTCAAGCTCTGCATCTACAGAGCCCCTCAGTTTAAGGAAACGGCGTTAGACCAATCTGTTTTTACACTCCATCATTTGTAAAGTGTCTACAATCCTTAGAAACTTCTTGCTCTAGCCCCGCGTTTCTGTTGTTACCGCCCCGACACCCACATTGCGGCGGCGACATTCAAACTGATTCCTCCATAGCATCCACTCTCCGTGGTCCACACTTCTCCCACTAACAGATGATTTTTCCACCCGTCATGCCTGCTTGAGCAGCTCCTCTTTTCGGGGTAATAAAGCCCAGGCAGGCTCTTCAACTGGTAACCAACCAGAAAATGAGCATCGCTGTAAATCAACACAGAACAATATCAAACTGCCAATGGCCGGTTTACCGCGCATTACCCAATTTTCTGTCAGAAACTTTTTAAGCGCAAATATTTCAATGTTACCACAAGGTGGCAGTATTATGTTTCAACCAACCTAAACCAAACCAAAACAAACCAAACCAAACCAAACCAAACAATAACAATGAAATATTTGAATAGGTCCTTGTAACAGAAAATCCCCAAATCCTTTGAATGTGCTGGAATCCTTGGGTTCCTATACCACACTTGGATCACTGTTCATATATATTTTCATAGCTTGTTAAACAGACTCTTGGTATGTTTTCTTTCTTTCCCCTGGCAGGCCCCGAAGGGAGTATGATTTATTGTTGCTCACAGATTATCTCTAGAGGTCCAAAGTTATTTTTAGCTCCATATTTAGTCGAAGTTAAATGGATAGGATTGGGCTCTGACTCCTGGCTGGATGACCAACTGGCCGGCTTGTCACGACAACTATCCAAAACTTCCCAAGGCAAATCACCACAGTGCCCGCATCAGCACGAAAACCGCACTTGATTCTCATAAGTAACCATGTTTACACACAGTCTTAATACTAGCTGTGACAGCAATCAAAGAGACCAGATATCCTTGGGGAAAGGCCACAAACACACATTTGTAGCCAACCATGCTAGACTTTTCTCTGAGTGAGATCAGCCCCCAAATGCTGCCCGTTCAGTCTGTGGGACTGCTCTTCAGCTTACACAATGCCTGGCCTAACAGTGACTTTCTTAAAGCATGACCACTATGTTACATCGTGATGGTCCAGAGCTATCTGCAAGAGCCACTCTCCTGGCCTACCTAGGGTCATCAGAAGACACAAGCGGAGATTAGGATTTCTGCTTCCTTTGTTTCACAAGGAAAGATGACATTTCCCGTGTTCTTCAGGAATCTGTCACTGCCTGGCATCTGGCTGGTTCCAGCAAGCACTGGACCAAGCTGTAGGGCTTTCATTTTGACGGTCTTGTTGAATCTACATGAAGGGCACGTCTGTGTCTCACAAAGGCATTTAACTTTAAGATGGTAGTGACAAGGACCTTAGCCATGCCCATTCTAATTTTGTAAAATTAAGAGTTATATATTTTTTTCTTATTTCTTCCTCTGCATTGTCATCACTATTGGTCGATGTCTGTAGATCACACTACATTATTTTACATCAAAGGCTTGAGTGTCTGCGGACTTTGGAGTCAGATGGATCCTAAGGAAAATCCCTCATAAAGACTGAGGGATGACACTTCCATCTTGGGACAAAGTTTTCTGCATCCCAAGTACATGCGAGTTCATGCAGAAAGGAACAGTGCTGTTTAAAATTTGGGTCCTCTGTGGAGCAGATGCTTGAGTTGTAACAAGTAGATGGTTAGTAGCCATATCTGGCAGGTCTCACTGTCCAGCAGGCTCTCAAATCAACAGCTGTATGGTTTTTCCATCTTAAGAAATGGAGATACAGCAGTGTGACTAAGAATTAGAATCGAAGGCTGGAGAGACAATTTGGTGAATGTTTGCCATTGTCAGCAGGGATGTCTGAGTTTACACCCCCAGCAAGGACGTAAGAATCTTGCTGGATCATCATGTACTACACACGGTCCTAGAGCTTGGGAGGAGAAGGCAGGAATACCTGTAGTGTGCTCCCCAGACAGGCTATCTAAACCGGTGAGTTCTGTTTGGCTAGAGATTCTGTCTCAAAAAACAAGGTGTAACTGAGGAAGATGACCAGGTGTCAAACTCTGGTACCCCCTCCCCACCTTACACACACACACAGGTAGCCAGACTTCATTACAATGTAGCCTTTGGCTTTCTTTTAGGTATCTGATAAGGCCTGAAAGGGCACACGGTTTAATAGAGAGACCTAGAGAGCAGGTGAAGAGGGTCCCATTTTCACCTTTCTTAGAACTGCACTACTTCTTAACGGGCCCCATAGAAGAAGAAAGCCAAAGAGGGAAAAAAAAAACTGCAATGAACATCTTCTCCTGGAAACAGTGGGGGTTTAGTATAAACGAACACATACACACACACACACACATACACACACACACACTCAGAAACAGTTACAAAAAGAAACAAAAATCTGGCTAGGGAAAAATCTCTTGGAAGGAAACTGGCAGCTCCTGGGCAGGGATGCAGCTGGCCTGTAAAGATCCAGGAGCAACCAGGGCAGACAGAGATTTCTTTTCCGACTCCCCTGCTCTACACAGAGAACTGTGGACCTGCCACCAGTGTGCTTTTGTGGGCTCTGGGTTCTCCCCCTACTCCATTCGTTTGACAGCTTGCTCAATTGATACGAATTTTTCACCTTCTGGGCACACCCATTGTCAAGATTTGCCACTCAGGGACTGCATAGTAACCTATAAATCTGGACGTTCAGAGGCTGCAGAAACAGAACCACTTACTGTAGGAGCCTACAGAAGAGAAGAGAGGCTCTCTTCAACACTTCAGCAGGATGGATTCACTGGAGGCTAGGCTCCTGAGACTTTTCTTCTTCCCTGGGCTCACTTGAGCCACCTCAAGGCTGTGACCGGCAGCTGCGGGCAGAGGGACTCCAAGACTGTGCCATCTAACCACAGAAGGGAATTATCCCTGCAGCTGCTTCCAGCCGCCTCCACACTCTCTGCTCTAGATTTCCAGCTGTAGGAGCTCTACTGAGAGTCTCCCTCTGAACAGTAAAATCCTGCATGACAATGGTTTAAAGTAGCTGTTATCTTGTTAAGGCTGTTAATCCTAGAGCGCCTCCTGTTTGTACTCTTTGCTGCCTGCCCACTCCATCCTGGGAGGAGGACCGGACAAGAACTTGATTGGGGACAGAAAGGAGAGGGTCTCCACCAAAAATATTTCACTTCCACTGGGACAAAGATGGGGGTTTATGGGTCTTTTGTGCATTTCTGTTCTACAAATAGAATCTAAATAGTTGAGTAGGGGCAAAGTGTGCACTACTCACTTAATTTGAGTTAACAAGGACATGAATGGGGCACAGACAAGACACTGGCTTGAATATCTGGAAGTATAAGGAACTGAGCAAGGGAAATAGGGAGCCAGGAATCTTGGCTGGGTGGGAGGATTCTTTAGTTATTTACCTTTTGAGACAGAATCTTGTGTTGCCCGGTTGGCCTTGATTTCCCAATCTTCCTGCCTACATTGCTTTCTGGCTGGGATCACAGACATGCAGTACCATGCCTAGTTCAGGGATTTCTTCCGTTTCATTTTATTTATAACGTAAGGTATCTTTTGTATTTGATCTTCTTTCCACTTTGCCCTTATCCAACCCTCTGACCCCTCACTGCTTCGTCAGAATTTAATACATTCCTAATCCAACATCTCTACACTTACTGCTCATGTGGGTCAGCCTTCCTCCTGAAGTGGTCACAGCGTGGTCCCTTGCTCCCTACCATAAAGCTTACTCTTACTGTGCTGACTCCGCTGTACGTAGCTCCTTCTGGCACTCCCTAATCCCCTTTCCCTAATCTCCCTAGTAGCCAGCAGCTTCACCCCATACTATGTCTTTGCAGGTTGGTTTTGTGTGTAGCCCCTTGTAGAAGGCGGCCTAGCACAGTATTAGTACAGCTAATCAACTGTACCTTTTGAGGTTTTAAAAATGTGTACAAATTGTTCCTCCAGTAGAAACAATAATTAAGAAATGAATAATAATAAATGAGTGAGAAACGAATAAAATAACTTTGATAAGTTAATCGTTCAATGTTCTTCTTCAGAAGAAAAAAGTCCAAACTTTGCAACTTCTCATTGCCACCCAAATTCCTTTGCGTCATCCATAAAGTCCCGTCGAGCCAAGTTTCCTTTGTTTCTCATAAAGAGGGGGAATAATCACTTCGCAGATTAGGAAATGTAGGTGAAAGTGCTGTTGTCACACCCGAGGCAGAATAGTCTTTGAAACCCGG